ATTACATTATATACTTATGCACCAATTTTTGTGCATTGTGCATTGTTTTTCACAATATTATTTTTGTGTAGATGTTTGTCTGCTTGGCTTAACCGTGTGAAGACACTTGTTGTGCCCGGGTCACTTTTTTGTGTGTGGGAGTGGCAATCTTTTGTAGACACAGAGATCTATCGGAGCAAGGTAGTGTGGGATTCTCCTTCCGATCCAGGTTGACATACCTACTAAAACACTCCTTCGCCTACCATGTTTACTGGCAGGAACTGTTTTCCACTTTCTTCTACTGATAAAGGCCGTATATTTTGTATCATGTTCCTAATTTTCTTTCGTCCAGTTCCTTCTCTCCTATAAACGGTACTAGTATTTTCCATGTCGAGCTATTTTGAAGCGCTAGCTCCGTTATGTACTGGTCCGGTGCGCTCCCCCCTATTTTCTCCATGGATTCTTGTCGCTGTCTGGTCCACATACTACATTCAAAGAAAGTAGTATGTTCTACGTCGTCATTTTTGTGGCAATACAAGTATTTCCGGTTGTCCCTTTTGGTTCTTCTGTGCAAGTACACCATGAAGCAACCATGACCGTTTAAAGCAATTTGTATGTCCTATTTTATTCTGCACCCACTTGTCGATTGCCGGAATTAATCTTTTTGTCCAGCCTGCCTTTTCTGTGTAAATCCATTCCCTCTGCCACTGTTCCCTCATTTTTTTTTGTACCTCTTCTCGCGCTTCCTTGTTGTTGTTATCGTTCCTTTCTTAGCCTGGCCAGCACTTGCAGAAGCTCCACTTTGGTTGTGACACACAGGGCTTCATTTGACACCGTTCTATACGCACTTGTGATTTTTATGTTCATCTGTCTTTGTGTGGCCCTTAATGGTTCGTAGTTGGTGTCGTTAGAAACGCGCTCATTTATTTTTTTTTATATTTTTTTTTTATTATCCCTCTTTTGTTCTCGGCCCTCGACAGGCTTGCGCCCAATTACAGAGTGACCCGCATAATGCTTTTTAGAGATGCCTCAATCTTTCCCCTTTAAAAATAACAAATTTATTCAACATCAATCGAATCAAATCATCTGAAAGAAAGTATGGCACTCAGAGCCAGATAAAACACCGTACGCAACAAGTGATCGATTAAACAAATTAAATTTAAATAAACTTTTAATTACGTTAAGTTAAATAATCCTTATCATCCAGTGATTATTGCACTTTTCAACAAGTAGACGCACTAACAACTAAAACAAACACCATTGTCTACGCTTCCGCTTAACTCGACTAGACTTTCTCTACAAAACTTTAAAACTGGCAGAACTGATTTTCTTAAAAAAGCTTCGATACCAGCAAAACCGACTGTTTTGCAGCAAAATAACGCCCATCAAACAAAAAATTACGGTTAACCTCTTTCTCTTCTATTTAAAATAATTTCATTTTTTCACTTTCGTTCTTCCTTCCTTAAGAAAATACTGCGTTTTCGAAAGAATTAACATCTGCTTACTTCGGCGATAACACGTGATTATTTTGTAATTAGCTTACGCAGCCCTTATTGCCCTTACCGCAAACGACCGAAAACCCACTTTTGCAATAACAATAATCTTAATCTTTTAACACCTAAATCAAACTATACAATAAAATAAGCAAAGAGATTATTTAAACAAAATTATCAACATTAAAATGATTCCGATACAAAATAAAAATGACCTCGAATTCATATAATATGATAACGACTACATTTACGCTTTAAAAATAATTTAAATTAAACATACAGGGTGACCCAGCATTACTGTAGGTGCTGAAACCAAACAAAACGTCCACATGGCGTAGTTTACAGAACAATATATAGATCCCACATAAGGCCAACCTTCGCCCATCTTTTTACCGCAATTTTACATGCAAATGGCTTGCCTAAAAATCAAGGCTGCCCTTAAGTAAAATTAATGTAATTAATATTTCTGTCTTCTTCTATCACATGGAGAGAGCGCATGGGCACTCTCTTACATTCAATGCCTGTTTCACACGGAACAATATACCCTACACTAACGTTTCTTTCTCGCAGGCTACTTAAAATTCCGACAACCGTGAGCCTTGGTCAGTTTCACTTAGACAACCCTATAGCATGGTATTTGTAGTATAATTAACTTTATTTTTGTATAAATTTTAATTGGGTATGAGCGCAAGTATACACCCCCAATTTACCTGATTACGCCTGAGAACCCAGTAGTAAGAACCAGAAATAGATAGACAATCCAACGATGTCTTGTCCCTTATTGTTCTTATTTTATTATTGATTTCGTTTGGTTTACAGATGAACGTAAAAATTAAAAAAATATTAATTGCATTTTAATTAAGGGTTGCCTTGACTAAATTTATTTAGGCAACCTATTTGCAATGTGTTTGTTTACATATTAAGATTGCTATCACTTGGTAAACAGAATTAATACTCGTAAAAGTAAGAATAATTGAATCATAAAGTGTAATACGTTTTAGTAGTGAGTTTCAAAAATTCAAAAATTTCAAAAAATGTTTAAACATTTTAAATTAATAATTTTTATCACTGATAAATTAACGTGTTCTTTTAAGGTTTGATACAAGTGCAGCTGTTACCTATAAAAATCAAATATAACTTAATTACCGTCGTTATTCATTTTGCGTTTCTTATTTGAAATGCTAATGTTTTTTTTAGAATTTTGATTAGTGGCGAAGCTGTGGCCGTACCCGTTCGGGTCGGATAACACCCAGTTAGCCGCCCCCCCACAACCCCCCCAATCCACAAAGCCGCCCCCCCATCCACAAACTCCACCACATTGTTTGGCATATGTCGCGGCCCAGCGCGATGGCAACAAAGTAGTGGTGAAACGTCCCTGATAGTGCCTACCAGGGACGCATCCTCACGACAGTTGACTAAATCCTATGGGAGAGGCAGCGACGCCAGGCATATGTCAAAGTTTCAAGATCTGTGTAGTAAAAGCCCTTATATTCTTACAAATCTATTGGAAAAGGTGTTGTTAGGGATCTCCATTCCTTTTCGTCTTTGAGTTCGACCAGAAATAAACTGAAACTCAAATACCATAAGAGTACAAATTTTTATTTGATACCTCTTCAAATGTTGGAGCAGAAGAAATATCAAACAAATTTACAACAGAATGCATTTTTTAAGAAATTATAGAATATATAGAAATTTTTAAATCTCTCATATATAAATAGGAAACCACGTGTTTAAAATCGATGCCCGCAGCGCTAGATAATTTGTGTTCTGCGTTGAAATTTCAGTGGTAGTTTAGTCAGAATGTTACATTTGTATTTGCAACTTCCAAACAATTTAACATAGCATCATCCATTTTCGGAATATTCATGGGAATATGTCAAACAAAACCCGCTTTAATTAAACAAAATTAAAACATTGTTCGAAAAGCCGAAATACCGGAATAAAAATGAAATTCAAAGCACTTACTATAGTTAGAGGTTTGAACGTTCAACCCGAATTACGTAAATTGAAAGTGCTAAGCTTTGGGGAGGTAACCGCAAACCTGTAGCGATGTATTTTTCAGTTTGTTTTTCGGCAGTCCCTAATGTTACATATTACACATCCACCAAACGCCGGAAAAAGGAAGAGACGAGGAATATTACGTACTACACTACATGTCATTTCTCGTTACTCGTGCAATGCGCGAGACGAGAATACCTAGCTAACCGAAAGCGCCATTTGCTACCAACAAAAATAAAAACGTAAAAAACCAGTCGGCAGTTAACTATGAAAATTTAATTAAAACATTCTTTTGAAATCAAAAAGCTCTGGAGCACTAATACCCGTTTCTTCCTTTTCCTACGGTGAGCGAACACCGTACTTAATATTATTAAAGCATTTTAATTGTAGTCACTGCAGACGTATTTGCTTCAGAGGAATGAAAATTTATCGGGTGTGGTGATTTAACGGCGTTAAAAGTGTTCACAAAATGCGAATAAAATACTGTCTGAAAAAAGGACAAGCAATGGAGAAGAAAAAAGTTCCGTCCGACAAATAAGGATTATAATGAATTTTTTTCAGAGTGGAAAAAGTAGATTTGCTTTTCAAATTTTAAATTGGCGATCGTTCCGTTAAATGTAACTTTAATTAAGCAGAAATTTTCATTTAGACTGGTAAAAATCAAATACTGGATCACTACAGAGTAGGTAGTTTAAAATTTAATTCCAGTAATTTACTACAATGCAGACGCATCCCTTTGAGGGTGTAATTTTCCGTACGAAGACTTTTAGGACAATTATAAACTTTCTGCATGCGGTTCTTTGTTCTGTGTGCAGTTTGTGCAATTACATTTTAATTTGTAATGTAATGGTGATTGTGGATGTGTTGTCATCGCCTGTTATTAAAATGAAGTTGAGCACGTATCTGTTGCGGCGAAATTACCATCATAAGCACTGGCAGCAACTATACGTGACCCAAAACGCGTTGCGTATTTACTACTAAAATGAAATTTATAGAATATATATTTTTTTAATCTTAACGAATCTTAAAAATGTTTCTATTCTCTAAAAGTCATTGAAGAGAATTTTTTTAGTGCGCTCAACTTTATCATAAAGATCTAAATTTCTGAGGAACAGTTTCCAGAACACTTTCTTAGCTGCCTGCTTATCCCAAGGGATTACTTATGTACAAAGATCAATTTTACGTGAATTCCCGGAATACTGTTCAACAAGTAAATTTTGTTTGCAGCCATTATTGTGCAAATTGAACTTCGAGTAACCTCGCAACCCATACAGTCGGTACCGTTATTTACAATCGATTGTAGGAGGGAAACAAAAGCTGAATTTATTCTATACACTAATTCATACTGAGTTGCATCAGTATAGCTTCACGTAAAGTGTCATATTCACACTATCGGTCAGGTTACGGTCAGAACATGTACAATAAACACGCTACAAAAATTGACCGTACCGTGAGCGGACCGTGACGTGACCGATAATGTGAATCGGCATTAAATTACATTATTATTATAATCAGAGATCTTTGTTACAGAACCAGAGAGGAAAGTTGGGACACCACAAAAATTAACGCAGATTAGGTAACTATATAACCATATCAAGCCAACTGTAGAAATATTACAAGTATTTCGGGTGGAATATAAATGGTAATGAATCACTATTTTCATAGTTCTACGTTTTCGCAAAGATCACCCTTTTTTATTAGGTTTGATGTATGATTGAAAAAGTGTAGTGTGTGTTTGGCCGTTGGTAAACGTCGTTTGCCACCATGGACGTAAAGGGGTGAGTCTGCGGGAAAGCGCGAACTATGCCAAACTTGCCTTCAGATCGTTAGGCATTGGTGTGTGAAAAAATGCGTTTTCGTTGTGCGACAGGCGGGCTCGAGCTATGCCAAACTCGCCTTCGGCTCGTTCGGTCAAGCGGTTGGTATGAACTCTGTATTTTGGGACAGAAACCGTACAACAGGCGCCAGAATTTCGGGCGAGCGATCTCGCCTTTGACTCGCTCGGCATTGGTATGAACTCTGTGTTTTGTGACCGGAACGGTAAAACACAGTCCAGAATATCGGTTGAGCGGTTGGTTTATGCCGATTTCGTCTTCAGTCCATTGGTATGAATTCTGTGTTTTGTACCAAAAAATCGACAGGTGGAATTTTGTTTCGGAGATGCTTACGTATGCTATTGCAAATGTAATTAGGTATCTTTGAAGCTATCTATAGCGATTATGCCCCACAAAAAAGCTATAATAAGATTACAGTTCTCTCTCAGTAAATTCAGAAGTAAGCGAGGTTATAATAATAATAATAATAATAATAATATGGCCATTAATAGCTATGTTGGTAAGTATGAATTACATACTATCTCTAGATTTCCAATGTGAGTGTGTGAATATTTATTTTATTTTTTATTTTTTTATTTTTCTTTAGAACCCTACATAACTTCACCAGACACAGACACAGACACTAATCGTTACTTGATATTAATCCGTGCGATTAGTTAACCAGGCTAGACCTGAGTTCTCACAAGAAACACCGACAATAATAATAATAATATTTTATTATCCAAACAAGTAAATATACTCAATAACAGGACAATATTCCAAAAAATTACAAAATCAAAAGTACATGCGAGCAGTTTAATAATTAATAAAAAAAACACTTCAAGACATTAATAAGGAAAATAAATTATAACTCTAATGATTGCAACAACCGACCCAAACCTTCATGAAAAACGTCTACTGGCGCAGATAAGTCATTAAATAATGAGCAGATTAAATGCACTGGAGATCTCTGAAGCACATTGGTCTTACATCTTGGTAGGTAAAATGGTGCTGGGCATCTTGAAGACAAACGTGGGACGCAGAATCCAATTTTCCCGAGCACAGACGGGCAATCAATTTTATTATTTAAGAGATTATACAAAAATTATAGGCAGAGACGTTTTCTTCTTGTTTTAAGGGGCAGCAGCTCAAACCGGTCACACATTATCTGCTGAGAAAACCCCTTGGGTGGATAGACTCCATCTTTCCTGTAGCATAAGTATATAACAAGACGCCGCTGGATGTATTCAATTGCTTCATCGTATTTTACATACAGGGGGTACCAAATCAACGCCCCATACTCTAATTTGTTATAACGTCATAACCAATTAGAACTACTACATACAGGCACTGTTGCGAACTAGTTGTTAAATTCGTATTAAAATACTACTATAATTCTTGGTATTGTCAATGCATTTCTATTAACGATTTTTTTAACTTCTTAATAGCGACCCTGTATAATTAATAAATATTATTTAATCAAAATAATTTTGTTCATTTTGAGATAATCTCTGCCAATTTTCATGACCTTTATAATTCCTTACAAAGGGAGTAAAAAAGGCCGTAGTTGCATAATCCCTCCAACCATTTTCGAGTATTGAAATTTCTAAATATTCTGCTAATAAGTTTGAATTAGCATTTTTCAAAAATTCTGATTTTCAATTTGTAATTAGATGAAATTATCAGTGAAGGTAAAATCAATTGAATTCTTTCCTATTCTTAGCCCGTCTTATCTTAGCTAACCTGGGAAGTAAAAGTACAGAAGGTAGGTCCAAACGTACTAAAAACTACAACAAAAGAAAAAGACGAAGTTTACAAGCGGAATGTTATACATGGAACCACACCGCGAATCTGAGAAAAATGAGGGACCATTACAAATTACCGCCCAGAAATGAGGGTTGAAGAGAGGCACAACTGCGACAACAGATGGTCGTTATTAGAGACATACACAATATTTTTCTTAGTCAAAGGAGTCACGCTGGAGATAATTTATGGAAGTAGCCGTGATTTGATGTACGGAATTGACCTCCACCCCTCCTTTAATTTTAGTTAAGTGGCTATTTCATTTTGTGGACATATTAAAATTGCCTCAAACGTTTTAGATCATTGTAATCAACTTTTAAAGAATAAAATTTTTCCGTCTGTACGTACGCACGACTCGATCATCACCAAGGATACGGCCTTGCCTCTGGCAAACGCCAGCGGTTTGCGGGACGGTTTCAAATTCAAATTAATTAGGAGCGCTTCTTTTGATACCCCGCACGACTACGCGAATAACCTTTACTGCAATACGTTTTCTTTAGCGACTATTAATTGCACTTACTTAATTGGCCGGATTGAAATTTCTAAAATGGGTAGTTCAATTTAATTGTTAATTGGAATTTGTCAGGTCGGCATAAAGGTCTCTTATCAACCTGATAACGGCGTAAACGGCCTTGCAGTTTTAATGCTCGTTTTAAATTAACGTAGGTCGAAAACCTGCTAAGAATCGCTTAACGGAGCTGTAATTCGAAAATATTAATTTTCCTCGTCTTTCGGACGCAACAATAAGTGAAATATCTTGACGGGAACGGTTGCAAACGTCGGATTAATTGCAGCGTTTGTTTACGGTAGCGGCGGCTGAAACACAACTCTAGAAATTAAACCAATTACCTTCACTTTCTATTTCAGGGTGTTCAGCAGAGTTGGCCGACTCCACAAATCATAACTTGATAACGTCATAACTTCTGGTATGAAGCTTCAAGGCGAAAAGTAGGTGCTTTATCACAGTTTAACGACAACAATGCACCCGTGCACTTGTGCCGTTTGTGTTTCAGAAAATGATCGATTTGCGATTCCAATTGATCCCCCCTCCCCTTGTTTGCAAAATTTGACCTCGGGGAAAGCAATTCCGGGTAGGGAGCGCGGAGTTGGAGAAACGCTAACTGAAGTGCGGAATAGGAGACTTATTAGAGGAACCTCGTAGGCAAGAGAAGAAAAAGTGAAGACAAATAAGTTTCTGTCACTCTGAGACTAATCTGGTTGGACATGACGCTCAGGAGATAACATGTATTACAATATCTACACACTTCCGGTCTAGAACCCTTTTTCTTATGTATCACCCTTGACACATTCCCGGAAGTGAAGTGATTTAATGATACAAACAAAATTAGAAAATTTCGTTATTCCGTCTGTAGGTATTAACGAAGGGAATTCAACAGGGGGGGAAGTATTAATTGAACTTCCTAAAAAGTGCAATACGAATGATAAAAAGGACATTTACCTTTCCCCGTGGCTGGCTGGCAACGCATTATGATTTACTCAAAAAACGACTTTAGCTATAAATTCTAATTAAATTTGACCATAAACGATATACGTACAAGACTCGCGCACTGTGTGAACAGCAGCGAGTAAAATTACAAAACTGTTCGTAGAAGCTTAATGAGTTTGCATAGCGTCTGCTAACGCAGCTACCTTAACAATATGTACGAACCGCGTAATTTTAACAGTCACCCTCTTCCTTCTGCTCCCTTTTCTTCTCGATATTGACATCGTGTCAAATAAAAGTACGTGTAGAATAACTTTAGAATAAAGGTATGCGGCGATAGAACTCGAGTTGAAAGGACCTAAATTTGAATAATTCCAAAATGAACTGGCACAATCACGGTTACTGTCTGTTCGTGCATGAGAATTTTAAACACGCATTAACGACGAGAAAGATAAGGATAACTTCAGTATTTAGTTCCAGTTTTTGTTAGTTTTAGGGTGCCATTGTGTTAAACTTCCCGATTTATGAGGTTAGTTCGATTTCATTTTCGTTATGAATGGGGTTAGCTTCCTGTAATTTTTCATACATTGCCAGGCCGGTAAGTACTTTCATTAAAGATACAAAGCGAACAAAATACTTAACGTGTTTACTGGTGGGCACACGCTTCAGTGACAAGGTAATCTAGAAGGCAGCATTTGATTAACGCCCTTTGAAAGCTCGCACAACGTTCAAAGTTAATTTCTGCAATTATTTGCAGGTTCCGAACATACGTTATTAGGGTTGTTTTCAAAAGTTGTTTCGGCTTAAATTTACTTGATCTGTTAATTAAAATACCGAAACGCCGCGTCTATTTGCGGTATATTGACTATGTGAAAAATACATTCGCCAGCAAATTCATTTGTTTTCCTAACAGAGTAAACGTTCGGAAAGAATTACGGGGCAGTTCGTTAATAATTGACGCACTCGGCCTATCTCAAATCTAAAATTCGATGAACAATTACGATTGTAGGTAAATCCACTCCACATATTTCTGTTTTGTTTCTCGACACGTGGATTTTGAATCAATGCATAAATTGGTGATTGACCAGCATATATTCTCTTCGAATTCCATATTCTGCGACCCTAAAAGTACTAATTCTTGCTGATGCTGTAATTAATGACGCATTTAACCGCGCTGGCTTGCCGCAGTACGTTTCTTGATATGGATTGTTATCGCCAGACATATTTTCGTTCAGGTTCGCTATGACAAATATAAATTCGAAAAATTTCCTTTCCTAAGGCGACCATCCGTTACAAGTAACATCATCGTGTCCGATAGAAACAGGTGCGACTTGGAGGCAACAACATCCCTATGCCTCCAACGATTCGCGAACTTAACGAGCAGCAACCAAACTGTCCGTCACAGTAGACAAAACGAAGGACATGGTTTTAGGCTCCAAACTACAGAGAAATTGGACAATGCGCCTATACAGCCGACCAGTCCGTAGAGTTTTAGAATTCAAGTATCTCGGGCTGTTAATGGACGACGAGTCATCTTTCGTGAAGCAGTGTTCTCTTATGGTCGAAAACGCAAAGGCTTATAGATTTTCTAACAAAAATAGATTTCTTCTCTCCACACCAATTCGGCTTTATCAAGGGTCGTGGAACTGAAAAAGCATTGCTAAACTTCATGAGCAGTATTTATGAAAGTGTTGATAGCGGTAAAAAAACTGCAGGTATGTTCATCGATGTACAAAAAGCATTCGATACGTTGGATAAGAAAATATTATTAAACAAACTAGAGCATGCTGGCATACGAGGAATAGCAAACAAATTGTTTGATAGCTACCTCGGTGGTAGAACGCAAACTGTGAGAGTAGGAATCAAACTGGAAAATACGAAATTCAAAGATCGGGAGTACCACAGGGATGCGTTCTCTCCACAACACTCTTCCTAATATATTGTAATGACCTGTGCAATGGTAAATTTTATGGGAAACTAACAGCCTTTGCGGACGACACAGCACTTGCGTATTCAGCTGATTCGACGCTCGCACTACATAACAAAATTCAGGGTGACACCCATAAAATTTATAATTGGTTTTGTGCTAACAGGCTGTGTTTAAACATTAAAAAAACAAAAGTATTACACTTTAACCTTAAAGATCCCACGTCATACACAAACATGAAACCAATCAAGTTCCACTCAAAAGAATGCGAACTTTCGCAAACGTGTAATTGTCCAGTGGTCAGTTATACGGAAACTGAAAAGTACCTAGGAGTAATCGTTGACTCTAAACTCAAATGGGGACCTCATATACGTAAATTAAAATGTGACTTGTACACAATAATAAAAAAGTTGTACTACGCAAAACAGAACGTTGACAGTATCGTACTCAAAAAATTATAGCACACTCTTTTCCACTCCAAAATGGAGTATGGACTGGTCTGTTGGGGTGCAGCGTATGATACTACATTAAAGCCAATAACAAATACACAAAAGCACGTCATACGAATAGTTGCTTCCGCTAACGTGACAACGCGATCATTTCCCCTATTTCAAAAATTCAACATTCTACCAATAAAAAACCTGTTTGTCTTCAAGGTACTGAAAGAATTTTATAAAAGGTCGGAGAGTTTTAGATTCAAAAAACGTGATATAGGCACTAGAGGCAACTGTAAAAATAAGCTCTTACTACCTAAAGCTAACTCTACCACCTTTCAGAAAACATTTATGTACCTCGGTCCTAAATTACATAACTTCATATTAGACCAAATTCCCATTAACTTAACATCTAAGCAAAGGCAAAAAGAGATAAAATTGTGGCTGTTAAAAGATAAAGAAAATATACACAAAGCTCTATCAATAATTCGATAGCATTTAATGTAATTCCTAATTCAACATTCACTGCGGCTATGTGTTTTAATTAGAAATTTGTATGTAGGTAAACTAGAAACATAGCTTTATTTTGAATTATTTAACTTGTTTTTATTTTTAATTAAGATGGGGCGCTTATAATTAGAATAAGTGTACCTTCTCCAAAAATTGTAATTTAAAAATAACATAACTTTGTACAGTAAGGGGAGAAAATAAAGATTATGATTATGATTATGATTAAAATGGTAAAAAATACAAATACACTCGCCTAAAATGGAATCTACCAAAGAAATCACTAGAGTCTATCTTTAACTCTGCAGTTAATCCCGCACTACATATGGCTTGGACATCTGGTATGATAGACTGAGACACTCTCACGTGGTCAGGAAACCGGTCTCGCTTCAATCCCTATTCTTAAGAACTTACCTTGGAGCATGCAGGACAGTACTCAATAATTCCCTGTGTGCAACTTCCCCTACGATCCCCTCTTCATTTTTTATTGCAGGAAATATACTGCACCAACCTACTACGCACGACCGCCATCCGCACTTTTCTAGGGACGATTTTCCTTCCTTTTCGGCCAAGCGTCACGTCAAGGAATTAGTCTTGGGTGAATGGCAGCGGTCGTGAGACGCGTCGACCAAAGGATCAGTCGGTTCCTGCACTGTGACTTTTTGGTCGATTGTGCTCCCCGGTATTGTTTACCCTTCAAGAATACCTGTATCTTTATCAAAGTCCAGGATTTTGATAGGGCGAAACCTCGTTACTTCCTCTTGTCTAATTTTTCATTTCCAAGTAGGCGTTCCCTTGTCTTTTTGTATGCATTGGCAAATGACGCGGTGTAGTGTTTCTTCTTCCTTACCACACCTCCTGCACAAACGGGATGTCAGGTGTTTATTCAATCGACAGTGGCCTGTGAGCATTTCTGTCGCGAGCTTGATCTTAATCCATACCAATGTGGTTAGTCTGTACCTCTAAACACGAGGATACCAGAAGTCACGACTTTCAGACCTTTTTCCATCAATTGAACTTTGTCGTTGGATAACATGATTTCCAGGTACATGAGCAATCGCCTAGCATTTAGTGGTCGTTATTACTAAAGGCAGGTATCCAAATTATTCCTAGATCAACATTGGCCCTACAAGCAAAGTCGTCAAATATAAGGTACCAATTTTGTCGTTTTATGTAGATTCTGAAGGGTTTAATCTTTAAGAATAAACCATCATAATTTCAAATTGGATTAATATATGTGAAAGTTAAATAAAAAATTTGGTTGTTCCGCATTCTTGGAGATTTCAACCCAGGCGGTTCATAACGTTTTATTTTACATGTAGTTTTTTCGATTTATGAACCCATAAAAGAAATTAAGTTTGGTAAATGATTAAGGTTAGTTTTGGTTAGAATTAAGTAAAGAAAATTTAAGATTCAGTAGGTTCCATTATTCTAACAATTAGTTTAGGGGAATAGAAATGTGTACTCATGGTTTTATGTTCTTCTTCTTGTTTTGTGTAGCTAATATTTCTTATGAACGTGTTCATTCACGTAAAAGTCATTTGACACCTTGTATCCTTCAAAGGACTCGCTCAGCAGATGCTGGCGGTCACTTTGGCAAAACTAAAACAGAATTATGGCAGACTCCCTATCGGGAGCGAAAGCAATAAAGCGCATGTCGGCGGATACGGTGGACAAGCAAAGTGAAATAAGGAATTTCCAGCTCCTCGCTGCGTTCAGCACTAAAGGGGTGCACATTAATTCAGTTTTTAATTAATTACTCGGCCTGTAATTATCGGAAAAATATAAGATGGACATAGGACTTCCCGTCTTTTAAGCGCACTCATTGCGAGATAACTCGAGACACCGTCTGTCGGTTTTAATTTAAATATTCCTACCGGAACGGTCGGAATATCTGACACATTCATTACAAAACTTACGTGCTTAGCGGCGGTACAATAAACAATTACACAAAAATGATAACACAGACAGTCTTCTAGCAAATAGTTAACATCCGGAACTATTTCGTAACGAAGCGACGAACTCGAAACCGTGTGTTCAGCAAAGCTGGTCGACTTCACAAATGTACCGTGCGGTCATAACTTCGGGTACGAACTTCGGAGCGGAAAAGGGGTGCTTCGTTACAGTACATACGAGTACATAACGATAACGAGTGACAAACTGCATAGTGTTTTTGTTTCACGTAGAGCCCATAGCAGTAAAGGCTAAAGAGTAACGGTATGTAATGTTGATGGAGTGAATTTGTTTACATATCTAATGGGGAGTATTTTATATAACAATAAGGGAAATCACTAAGTAAATGGGAGCTAATTGTTGGTTAGAACTCATTATTAAGATCCCGACAAATCTACTGTAAACTCACCTTTCATTATAAACGTCCCTCTGTAATATACGCATAAGGGGTTGGCATGGCAGCATTCAGTCTGACTGGTCATCTTCTGGCCAGGATCATGTAAACAAATATCGCGACTGCTTAACCGCGATCCTCGCCAATTAATTAGGTAACTCACCGGGGGGCATTAGCCCCGAGCTGGCGCTAGGCTCTCCTGCATCCCCGAACACTCTGGTTGGCGATTGGGGTTGAATAAGTCGTTGAAGATGACTTCCTGAAGGGTTAAGATGGAGCTCAACCTATTTGGGAAAGGGTTACGCCGCGCGCACGTGTGTTATTTAGGATACACATCCCCCCTTGGTCCTCTGAATAAGACCCTCAGCCAATAGATCAACCACCGTCGATCCATGCCTCTCATTGCCCTACCTGGGAACGACATCCAGGTCAAGCTCACCCCCGAACTCTTTTTGTTAACAATGAGGCCTTTATTTTTCGTATTGGGTCGACACCATGATCTACTCGAGCGAGTAGATCACTCAGCGGTCTAATCAACGGGAACTACCCGCGGGACCGCGTCATAGGCACATGCACATAATGCACTCTAAAAGCCTAGGAATATATCCGGATATCTGCGAGGGGTTTTACCTAAGCCCAACAACAAAGCACGACCAGCACGATGGCC